GGAGACACAGTGGTGAATCTCGTTCAACAAATGAGTCATCGACCAGTAATTGAAATCACCCTGTGCCACGGATCAAAGCAGCAAAGAGTCAAGATGATGCTAGACACGGGAGCTGATGTCACCATCGTCAGCCGAGACTGGTGGCCAAGAGAATGGCCTCTCCACAGAGCCTTAAGCTTGGTACAAGGTGTAGGAGGATTACTCCATGCTGCTGAGAAGTGTACACCCGGTCCAGTTTCGATTTCCTGAAGGACAGACTACCACCTTATGTCCATACGTCATGCCTTTGCCTGGAACCCTTGGAGAGCTTGTTGGTCGAGACGTTCTCAGCCAGCTTGGAGCAACACTAACTCTCCCCAATCAATCACCTTTTCGGTAATTGCCACTGCTGACAGGCCGCCAGCCCCAAGGATTCAGTGGAAATCTAATGAGCCTGTGTGGGTTGAGCAGTGGCCTCTATCCCAGGAGCGGCTAGCAATTGCGCATGAGCTTGTCAAGGAACAGCTACAAGCAAAGCATATCCAACCATCGCTCAGCCCATGGAATACTCCAATTTTTGTCATCCCAAAGAAGTCTGGAAAATGGCAATTGCTGCATGACCTACGCAAGGTAAACGACCAAATGTGGGTAATGGGAGCGTTACAACCAGGGATGCCCTCTCCCACAATGCTGCCACAAGAATGGCATCTTCTAGTCATAGATCTGAAAGACTGTTTCTTCACGATACCCCTGCAGAAAGAAGACACAGTGAGATTTGGCTTCACTTTGCCATCAATCAACAAAGAAAGTCCGTCTCAGAGATTTGAGTGGGTGGTCCTTCCACAGGGGATGAAAAAATTCTCCAACAATGTGCCAACTGTTCGTGCACTGGGCACTGACACCTGTGCGGGCCAAGCTCTCCCAGACAATTATTTATCACTATATGGATGACATCTTGTTTTGTCAACGTGATCCATTCCAAGATGGAGATCTCACATTTATCACTGCCCAGCTCGCAGCAAAAGGCTTGGTGGTTGCCCCAGAAAAATTTCAAAGACAAGCCCCATGGAGGTACCTAGGGTGGATTTTGACATCTTCATCAGTCCACCCACAAAAATTGGAATTAATCACCAAGATCCATACCCTTAATGATGCACAAAGGCTTGTTGGAGATCTGCAATGGGTACGATCCATTGCCGGTATCCGAAATGATAAGATAGCACCCTTAATGAGCCTTTTGAAAGGTACAGACCTGCAAGCCCCGATTACCCTTTCGGCAGATCAAAAGAGCTGTCTCATTTATCTAGGGAAGAAACTGCTTTCAACACTGGCAGACAGAAGATTGCCAGATGTGCCTTCGGGACTTCTGATTTGTAACCACTCTGTTGCACCATGTGCTATCATATTCCAGTGGCCTGCTTGGCAAAAAGAGAAAGGGGGAGAAGGCCCATCTAAGAGCCGTCGAGGTGCCAAGCAGCCTGCCAAGAAGATACAGTTAGTGCAATCAGCGAAGAAATGTGCAGAGCCTTTAGCGATTCTTGAGAGGATTTTTACACCATATACGCCACCAATGAGTATCTGGCAGAGGACAGAAGCAATTGCTTATCTCATCAAAAAGGCGAGAACACGAATTGTGGAAATTAGTGGTGCTGAGCTGGAACATATCAGTCTGCCAATAACAATAGAAAATCTTGAGTGGATGCTGAGACACTCAGAACCAATTCAATTAGTGTTGCTCAGCTATCCAGGGACTGTACACAACAGGCAGCCTAGCGACCCATGCCTGCAGATTATCTTAAAACAGCGGTGGTTGCAACAGCCCAAAGTCGTGAAGCAGCCAGTAAAAGGCCTTACAGTATACACGGATGCAGGAAGTCGGCGGAAAAAGACAGCCTGTACCTGGCAAGAAGACTCAAGTTGGAGAAGTAAAATTATAGATGGAGATGCACACGACTCACTGCAGACATTAGAACTTACAGCCGTCGCATGGGCACTGTCTCATTGGCGAGACAGTAAGCTGAACATTGTATCAGATTCATTGTACGTGGTAGGAGTGGTACAATGTATTGAAGACGTTCTCATCAAACCACCAGATAATAAGCGATTGTGTCAACTATTTTTTCAAATCAAAAGAGCTATAGAGGACAGAAATGAGCCCTGTTGCATCATTCACATCCGCTGTCATCAAACAGAATTAGGTCTCAGAAAAGGCAATGCAAAAGCTGATACGCTTGTCAGTCCTGTTGTAGCAGCACCAAGAGACTCTTTCGCAGCTGCAAGAGAGAGTCGTGCTCTCTTTCATCAAGCCGCAAAAGCCTTACAGAGACAATTTAACATCAGCTTAACAGATGCACAAGGCATTGTAAAATCCTGTCCACAGTGCAGTCAATATGGAACCACTCTAGGCTTAGGCATTAACCCTAGGGGTCTTCAAGCCTGTGAGATTTGGCAAACGGACATAACACATGTGCCTGAATTTGGTCACCTCAAATATGTACATGTTACAATAGATACCTTTTCAAAAATGGTTTGGGCCACTGCACAAGTAGGAGAAAAAAGCATACATGTAATTCGACATTTGGTAGCGTGCTTTGCCGTAATGGGGGTTCCGAAAGAAATAAAAACAGACAATGGGCCTGCATATGTAGGAACACGAGTTTCTCAATTCTTACAAAAATGGGGAGTCAAACATGTAAATGGAATTCCCCATGTGTCATCTGGACAGGCCATTGTAGAGAGAGCCCATAGGACCCTAAAAGAGTACTTGAATAAGCAAAAAACACCAGAACAGTTAGACCCTACCATTCGATTGCAGCAAGTGTTGTTCACTCTAAATTTCCTCAGTTTAGTTGGGGATTTAGAGCAACCCTCGGTGGTCATTCACAATAGTCAAGTAAAGATGCAAGCTACCCCAGAGGTTAAGTTATATTATAAAAACCCAAAAACAGGTATCTGGGAGGGACCAAGTCCATTGCTATTTAACGGGCGTGGTTACAGTTGTGTTTCCACAAATACTGGACCGCTGTGGGTGCCTGGCCGATGGACCAAACCAGCCACAAAGGATCTGAGGAACAATCAGAACGTTTATGCCCTCAGTCAATCTCTGATCAGCTGTCAGCTGACATCACGAGAACAACAAATGTTTCAGGACTGAATTGTGTCAAATCATAGTCTGTTTGTGAGAAATTCCTGTGAAGATCTGAGAAGAGTACAGAGACTCTATCTAATTGTGCACGAAACAAAATTTTAGTTGTGTGTTTACCCTTTTTGCAAACTGCTTTCACGCTTAGACTACATATATACCGAAGCACATGTGTTAAAGTAGATAGATAAGAGTTAAGAAGTTTAGTGTGTGTAGCGATTATTATATTAGTATAAGGTATAAGTATTCCCCCTTCAAGAGCTAGCATAAGCATCTTTGAAAGTTCACTTAACGATCAAAGTTTTAGCCGTGAATGTGCAAACATGACGCCATTTGCATGGGACAAACTGCTTGTGGTAATTGTGCTGTGTGTAACCCCAAACAGCTGTCTGCTGACTGATATCCAAAGGCGACAGAACATATGGGTCACCTTAGCACACCTGACCGGTCAAAAATCAATGTGTTTGAGCCTAGCTACCCCTGGAGATCCTTTTCATACCTGTCTCGTAGGAGTCCCTGAATGGGATCCTCCAGCCTTTAAAGGTTTAGTTAGCAACGAGACTCGACTAAATCGATCGATAATGCTGCAAGAGTGCAACCGCACCATTGGCTTCACATTAAGACAACTTGAAGCCTGCTGGCAAGTGAAAATTATTGAGGTTCTTAATGTTACCATGAGACCCCCCAGAAGAGTTAGATCTGCTAGGTTCCACTAATACCTCAGGTGGATGGATGATGTTTGAGCCCCCAACAAAAAATCATCCTGACAAAGCAACACAGCGCTGGGCTACAGTCAACCCCATAGTTGATCTCGTTACTGCCACTGAGAGTAAAGCTTTTTACTCGCGATGCAATCTCACAGGACAACTACCAAAGCGCTTACCTAGTTCCATCTTCCTAATCTGTGGGGATAGGGCATGGAATGGAATTCCTGCTAGTCCACATGGAGGGCCATGTTAGCTTGGGAAACTTACTTTGTTCCACCCAAGCGTACATCAATTGCTGAATGTGGCTGACAAAATGACAATCAATAGATGGACCAAGCGAAGCCTAAATGAGTTACAGTGTAATGATGTTAGAAACCCAGACTTTTGGAATCGCGGTATAATATGGGCAACCTCCTTCTTCATTCCAGGAGCAGCCGCCGCCAAAAGTCTAGCCACCCTAAAAAGGCTTGCTTGCTGGACTAGGAAATAATTAAACTTAACATCCACAATGTTGAGTGAACTTTCAGCCAATGTGAGTAGTGTACGTCATGCAGTATTACAAAACCGAGCTGCAATTGACTTTTTGCTCTTAGCGCAAGGACATGGTTGTGAGGAGTTTGAAGGCATGTGCTGCTTGAATCTTACTGATCATTTCAGTTTCCATCCATAAGCAACTACGCCAGCAAGATGGGTTATATGCCCTGAAAGAAGTTAGTAACCCCACTGAGAGTTGGTTTGCCAGCTGGGGCATCACTGGATGGTTGAAGTCTCTTGTGCTAGAGGGCGGACGAATGCTATTTATAGGGATAATGGTGTAGGGATACAGCTTGTAGGCTGTATGCTATCTTGTGTTCATAGAAGTGTAGTACAAGCCGCATCCAAGGCCTGGTTTGTGCAAAAAGGAAACGGGGGAATTATAGAGAGTTTTTTAGCAGATGGGGGACACGATATATTAGTAAAGGCCTGTCTGCACAAACCAGCCTCTGGGTTAAGTCGTAATATTAAGGGCTAAAATCCTTGAAACTTGCCTGCAGAAAGTAAAACAATATTCCTGTGTACAAGGATAAGAATGTAAACTTGTGTGTGCTAGCCAATAGTAGCTTGCTCTGCCCGCAAACCCTGTAGAACCCTATAAAAGGTGTGTTAATAATAGAAATAAACAGCATTCACAATTACTTCTGTGAAGACTGGTGAATAGCTTGGGGGTCCTTCAAGAGGAGCTGATGGCTCAGCTGATCCAAAAGGCCAGGGTAAGGCTGCGAGAACTGGCAGGCTGTGACTTTATGTGTATTCACCTTACGGTCAGACTCTCTGGAGAAGGCAAACACTCCCCTGAGAAACTGACCAAGGAGATGTTTGAGCACCTGCTGCAGAACAATGCTAACCTCCAATTTGATCTGGACAGCTAGGTGGCAAATTTCGGTTCATGCACCATCGCACAAATTGTTTCATGAGGAATTCCACCTCATTCCTTGTGAGAAAAGGAGTCGACGGCCACTCAAAGCTCTTACAGTGTTCATTGATGCATCTGGAACTTCTCATAAGTTGGTGATGACTTGGAGAAATCCACAGACTCAGCTTTGGGAAGCTGATGTTGAGTTTTTAGAAAGATCACCCAAGATAGCTGAACTGGCTGCGGCCGTAAGAGCCTTTGAGAAGTTTTCAGAACCGATTAATTTGTTTACTGATTCAGCCTATGTAGCAGGAGTGGTGTCCAGAGCGGAACAGGCAGTTCTCAAGGACATTGAGAATGAACATCTCTTTAGATTGCTCTCAAAACTGATTAATTTGGTTTCAACTCGAGAGCATCCTTTCTATGTGATGCATATAAGATCACATTCCGATTTGCCAGGTGAAATCGCTGAGGGAAACTGGAAGGCTGATTCCCTTGCTGCCCCAGCTGAAAAGGAACGGCTCCCAGATGTGTTTCAACAGGCAAAGATAAGTCACCAGCAATACCATCAAAATGTGCCAGGACTGATTCGTCAGTTCCAGCTGACACGGGGTCAGGCTAAAGCCATCGTGGCTACCTGTCCCAATTGCCAGCTCCAGGCAGTGCCATCATTAGGCATCGGGGTCAATTCCCGAGGCCTTGGAAGCTGTGAGGTGTGGCAAACAGATATCACTCACATTCCCAGTTTTGGTCACCTTAAGTATGTACACGTGAGTATTGATACATATTCAGGAGCTGTGTATGCCTCTGATCATGCAGGAGAAAAATCTGTACATGCCAAACAACACTTAGTGCAGGCCTTTGCAGTGCTGGGGATCCCTAAGGAAATTAAAACAGATAATGGCCCAGTGCATAAATCCAAGGAGTTCCTGGAATTTGTCCAGCAGTGGGGTGTGGACCACAAAACTGGCATCCCCCACTCCCCCACAGATCAAGCTGTGATCGAGCGTACCCACCAGACGCTCAAACAAGTCCTAGCCAGGCAAAGTAGTGGAACAGTGTGGATGTCTTCACAACAAAAGCTTTACAAAGCTATGTTTACCATCAATTTCCTGAACTGTTCATTTCAAAACATGAATCCTCCAGTTACTCGACATTTTAACAGTGGTGATCAGTTTAAATTGTCACAGCATCCACCAGTTTTAAGCAGGGACCCTGAAACTTGGCAAACCAAGGGCCCCTATGAACTTGTCACCTGGGGGCGTGGTTATGCGTGTGTATCCACCCCTATAGGCCCCCGATGGATTCCTCAAAAACGGGTAAAGCCTTTTGTTCCCAAAAACCCAGCCCCAGCAGAAGAAGAGAGACAAGTGGCAGTTGCTTCCAAAAGAAGACTCTGCCGGGAAAAACAAGAAGAAACCTTCCTAACCTCTGGTTACTCTCTGACCTGCACACATTGACTGTGAATGTGCTTTAAAAATATTTGTTTCTTTTCTTTTAGAAAAGACTTACCTCACACTCAAACCCATGATGAGCCTTACCTCAGCTGTTCTCCTGCTTGCTCTGAGCAGCCTGGCAGCTGCCTGGATCGTCCTTCAGCCACGACAGAACATCTGGGTGACTCTGGCACACACTTCAACAAGACAATATCTGCCTGTCCACTGCAGCAGCAAAAGACCCTATGTCCACCTGTCTGGTAGGAATCCCCCTGCAGGCTGAAGATTTTACAACCAGCTTTAGTGATCCCAAGTTTAATACAATTCCTAAAACAAGCAATGACCAACCACATGAAAACAGTAAACAGCAAGCTGTGGCAGTGAAAAATCCTATAGAAAAGTGGTTACCAGTACTGCCCAGAGCCAATAAAGAGCCCCAAGAATTAGAGCTATTAGGTTCCTCCCCTGCACCCTTTTGTCTTCATTTACAATTCACTGCCAGACACAAAACTATACAATCACATAATCCAGTACTGACAAGAATACAAAGCAAAACAATGGTGTGGTGTGCTAAGTCAAGTCCTAGTGGACTATCCTCACTGCTCACATCCAAGAATCCTCCCTAAAGGTATATTTCTAATATGTGGAGATAAAGCATGGGCAGAGGTCCCATCTCGCCTTCGAGGGGGGCCTTGCACTTCTGTTAGGCTGTCCCTGTTTGCACCCAACCAAACCCAAATTATTAGATGGACTCGGAAAGACAATTAGACTCATGAAATCCACAAAAGAAGCACTGATATTTTAGATTCAAATTGTGATTTGGATATATTTCATTGGGCAAAATCAAAAAGGGTTGCTGCATCCATATTTCTTCCATGGGTTGCAGCTGCCAAGGCACTAGATGAATTAGGACAGCTCGAGTGCTGGGTGATTAAACAGGCCAACTTAACATCAGCCACCCTCAGCTCCCTCCTCGAAGACAAAGAAATTACCCAACAGACCACACTCCAAAATCAGACTGCCATCAATTTCCTTCTGCTGCTGCATGTACACGAATGACAGGAATTTGAAGGACTTTGCTGCCTAAACCTGTCCTCAAAAGCTCCCAACGTCCACGGAGCCCTCCGAGAGATGAAGAACTTCATCGGACAAGTGAAGCAAGAAGCCGAGGGCTGGTTTAGTGAGCTGTTCAAAGGCTGGGGACTCACAGGATGGTGGACCTCGATAATCAAAACAATCTTGTTGGTTTTTGTTGTTCTGTTTCTAATTGTGCATTTCTAATTCTAGCATTCGGAGTTGTCCGTTGTTTAGTTTTAAAAGCTCTCAAAACATTAGTCTCTACTACCTCAGAGATCAACCACATAGAACTAGAGGACTGGAGGCAACTTAACCGGCCTGCCAATCACGAGTGGTGGACAAACTCATGACATGTATCAAGATAATCTCATAACCCTTCAAAAATTTTATATAATATGA